ACTACTACTACTACTACTACTCGTGGGCATTCTAGAACCTCTTTAGTTCAAGGTAATTTTGGTAATATTGCATTTTCCTAATTTTGGCGATTTGGGTCGGGCATCTTGCTCATCTTGCTTTCGGGGCGCAACATGATGTGTCATTTTGCCGGGCTTGCCGGGGGGAACAAAATCACGCATCATTTTGGTAATTTTGGTTTCTAGGTTTGCTAAGGGCGGGGGATTCTGCGTCATTTTGCTAACTGTGGCCGCGAGCCCATACGACTTGCACCACTTGTACCACTCGCTCCTCGGATGCCACTTGCACCACTTGCACCACTGACGAACCAAGATTACCAAAATTACCTAACTTAAATGACGCCCGCCCTCTCGTCGGATACTGATACCACTTGTACCTCTTGCACCAGTTGCCAGTTTAGCAGTATCATATAAGTTTTAGTGTTAGTATTAGTTTATAAGTATCAGTATTAGTATTGGTATTAGTTTATCAGTATTAGCATTAGTTTTACGAGGGCCCGGCAAAGTTTAGGGGTATTGGGTTAGGTAGTTGGCACATGAGTATGTATTAGTATCTGCATTCGTATTAGTATGAGTACAAGCATTAGTAACAGTATTGGTCGAGAATTAGTATTAGTGTTATGTGCGCCCGGGGCGCATCGGTTTAGGAGTTTAGGGTTAGTAGTTAATAGGAGTATTGATACTAGTACTAGTACCAGTATCAGTATGTATCAGTCTTTGTAGTAGTATAAGCATTAGTAGTATTAGTGTTGCGCTCTTGTGGCACGCGCACAGCAGTTTAGGGTTAGTAGCCAGTGTTATTCGAGTATGAGTATGAGTATTAGTATTAGGTGTTTAGACTTAGTACTTGTGGTACAAGTAATAGTACTAAACTAGCTTGAGTATCAGTATTAGTATTAGTATTGGCAGTCTTTGTATTCGTATTAGAATTTCGATTAGCATTTGTTTCAGGATTAGTAGTTGCATTAGGATTAGTTTAGGGCCTTGCTTGTGGTTCAAGGGTTTAGGGTTTAGGGTTACGCGCGCCCGGCGCGTGCTTCTGTTTAGGTGTTTCAGGTTAGTCGTTAGTTTTACTAATGTTAGTATTAGTATTGGTTTTAGTATTAGTACCAGTACTAGTATTAATATGAGTTTTACGCGCGACCGACACGTATCGGTTTATGGATTTTGGGTTAGTAGTTAGTATTCGTATCAGTATTAGTAGAAGTATTGGTACTAGCACTAATAGTAGTAGTAGTATTAGTTTAGGGTTAGTAGTCACGATTAGTAGTTAGTATCAGTTTTGGCAATGGCATTAGCATGAGCTTTAGTGTTAGTGTTAGTGTCAGTGTTACACGCGGCCGCCGCACGCATCGGTTTAGGGGTTAAGGGTTAGTAGTCAGTATATTGGTGACAGTATTCGTACTTGTGTAAGTACTGGTAGTAGTCTTGGTGTTGGTCAACCGCGAGCCCGGCTCCGCATCGGTTTAGGGGTTTAGGGTTAGCAGTTAGTATTACTACTAGCATTAGTATTTATTCGTATTCGTATTCGTATTACTACTACTACTACTACTACTACTGCTGCTGCTACTACTACTACTACTACTACTACTACTACTAGTAGCAGTAGCAGTAGTGCTGGTGGTAGTAGTAGTAGTAGTAGTAGTAGTAGTAGTAGTAGTACTGGTAGTAGTATCAGTATCAGTATTAGTTTCAGTATCAGTTGTTAGTTTCAGTTATTTGTATCAATTATCAGTATCAGTATTTGCATGGGTATTAGTTTTAGCATTAGTATAGATATTAGTAGTATAGTGTTAGCCGCGCCTGGCGCCCCAGCGGTTTAGGATTATTAGTTAGTATTCGTATTCGTATGCGCGCATGTCAAGTGATAACAGTGGTTCAAGTGGTGTCCGAGCAGGGGCGGCGGAGAAGGGGGGGGGGCGTCATTTGGGTAATTTTGGCAATCGGTGGGGTGCAAGTGGTATGGGCCCACGGCCTGCGCGATGATCAAAATTACAAGTTGTCTCTCGTGTTTGCGTGGATCGTCTGAACTTAGGAACTTGCTAGTTGATGCTCCAACCTGTGATATTGAGAACCGCCGTCGCCAGAAGTGAGCTATGATGCTGAGGTGTGCCTGCGCAGCGCAAAAACAAGGCGTCAGCTAAAACAAGAAAGGCACAACTTCAATTGCCCGTTGACACTTGAATTCTTCCAGCCCCGTGTCCTTCATGCCTGTCCAGCCTAATACCTACAAGCCAGAACTGCCAGGCAATGCATTTCGGGACTCTGCAGGCAACTCAGCAGACCTGCTGGCCTTGCCAACTCAAGAGTGGGGCGAGGTTTCCTGAAACGGCTTGGCTTTATTTTTGGGTCAGGGTTTGGGCTTCCAACGCCTCGTGCATGGTGGAAGACTTGAAGCGGGTTGAAGGTGAGAAGCCGGCTCAGGTCCGGTGTGGTGGCTGCTGCTTTGCTTGGGGTCCCGCGGCAGCAGGAAAGCACGTTTTCGTGTGCTGCGACGTTTTTCACTGAACATTTTGGCCGTTTGCTGAGGAAGGGCTTCCCGGCTTCCAGGCAGGCCCGAGAGCTTTCGGTCAGAGACACAGATGTGTGCGAACTGACGAGCTGTTGGTTCTAGCCCTCCTTCCCCAGTCGCCGGCAGGCAGCTGTTGGAGGCATCCTGATTCTCGGGTCCCTGCAAGTAGCCCGAACCTGACACTGCAAGATATGGCCGCACAGTCTCAACGCTGTCTGCAATCCGCCTGTTCTCACGGTTTCTAGGCGGAGATGCTGGAATCACGCTACGCCACGACCTCAGTGTGACATGTGAATCTCTTCAGTCTGGTACCTGTTGTGCTCTAAGTCTCTAACATGCCTTTGAGGCTTCAGCAGCTGTGCAGAAGACAGAATGAAGAAGGCCGACTGCCCTTGGCGTTCCTCTGCTCCGGCTTCGATGTTCTCGAAGGAAGGAGCAGACGAAGTTTCGCTGGACCACTAAACTTCGGTGGGCTTCCCTGCATGATCCTGCATGAAAAAGAAGGAGCAGGCAGAAGTTCACAAAGCATGCTGCAGGGTGGGGCACGTCCACCATTCGTTTTACAATTCTGTTGCTATGCATTAGTTGCTTGAGCTTGCAGCTTTTCAAGCTCTTGTGAAGCTGTTGAAAGGATTTCCAGGTCTCTGGCAGTTAAGTGTCTGCAGCAGAAAGATGTGCACCTTATCCGAGTTCTAAATTGGGGTTTGGTTTTGGCAGCTGTTGACACTTAGAACGTCTTTCGGGCCAAGGCGTTTCTAGCTTAAACTTGTGCGGGTTTGCTAGCTCCAGATCACGCCATCTCACTGCTTCTCCGCTTTTTGTGCGGGCCTTAGCTATGGGCAACGACCAGAGCTGCTGCCGGCAGCAGGCTGAAGTTGGCAGCATGATCCCTTGCTTGAGGTCAAGGCAGGGCCTAGAGGGAACCTGGCCTGCACAGGCAGAACCAGAGAAGGAGACCGTCAAAGTCCAGGCGGTCGTCAGTGAGCAGGCGGATGTATAACAGTGTCCAACCCGACGAATGAAAGCTAAGAGTATGCCAGCTTTTGTGAGGAAGATGATGACGTCGGATGCTTCGACATACAGAAAGGGCCAGTGGACCCACGAGTGGACCCAATGAGTTGGGAGGAGCCAGGTGGGCAAGCGGAAGCTGGCAAGGTCCGGCACGAGATGTCCTTGGAGGTGCATCGATAGATCCTTAAAGCTTAAAGCTGAAAAGGCCCTATAGGCCCTAGAGCTTAGAGCAGCAGCACGTCTGCCAGGGCAACAGGCGGTCGTCCTCTGCGCTAAGTCTCAGCCTTGACCCCGAGATGCTTGGCTGCAGCCAGGGCCCACCCAAAGTACGCGGAAGTCTCTGGGAGTCTCTTTGCGCTGCAGGCTGCTGCGGAGCGTCCGGCTCAGATCGACCCTGAAAGGTCGGGAGCTGAGACAAAGAGAAAGGGGCCATTTCTGTCGTCCCCATGAGCCCGGAGAGGTGGCGGTCGCCTCTGGCGAAGCTCCCCCATGGACCTGCAGAAGGAGAGCTGAGCTATGCCAGGCTGAGCTGAGCTGAGCTGTCTTGAGAGCCTTGAAGTGAGAGGAGCAGAGACTCCAACTCTGGGAGCAATCCGAGCCTACAGAAGAGATCGACGTCTTCTTCTCGCACACCTGGCAGACGGCCGGGCACTGGAAGTACTTGGCTCTGCTCTTTGAGACTGGGAGTTCCTGCTCCCTGGCAGCCTGGGCCATGGTGAGCTCAACGATGACGCTGCTCTGCTCTGTGGGAGTCGTCCCTTTGCCTTTTGGGCCCATCACCCGGGTCTTAAAATTCGAGGCCAGCGATTACTTTCACAAAGCATGGCCACAGGCCCCATAACGGGCAAACCTGCATTACATGAAAGTCTGTTGAGTCTGTTGCTTTTCAGGCCGTGACCCCGATGGGTCCCTGGATTATCCTTTCTGGCATGGTGGCTTCAATTGTTGGGTTGATCGTCTCGCCTCATGCGCCTGGATTGGTGCGGCGAGACGAGTCCTGTTTTCTGGACAAGGCCATTGCGAAGCTTAGGAATTCGGGTCCGAGAGATGTCCAGAGTCAAATCACATTCGGTATGAGGAGTATTTCAGAATCTCAGCAGTAATCGGTCCCGTCTGTAGTCAGTGTCTAGAATCCTAGAGCTGTGGGCCTCTTCTCCCCCCGCACGCATTCCGTGAAGGTTTACAGGTTCTTGAGGCCCCCTGGCTCTTTGGCTCTCAGGTCTGCATCCATCAGGAAGATCCAGACTTGATGCGCCGGGGTGTGTACGGCCTTGGGGTTTATTTGAGAATGTCCAAAGAGCTGCGTGTGCTTTGGAGCTCGCCGTACTTCACCAGGCCACTTTTTGTTGCTTCACGGGTAGATTGACCGGGGTTAAAAGGTGTACGAGTAGCAGCGTAACTTTTCGTCATGATTTTTTTGGGTCGTCTTCTACAGGCTGTGGTGTGTCTTCGAGATCGCGGCTTATGCGGCCCTGAACTCTTCGGGAAGGGTGGTGCTGGCTCCTGTCTTCATGGGATGGATGCAGGTTTTGCTGCTTCTCTGCTCCTACTTTCTTTCCGTTGTGATGTGGCTGGTCACGATTGCGGACACGGTCAATCTCTCTGCGTACTTCATCGCAATATCCCCTCTCTGTTTCGTCACACATGCGCTGCGCAGGAGTTTCTATTTGAGGCAGCTAGTGGTTGTGGAGCTGGAAAACTTTGAATTAAATGCTGCTGACTGTCGTGTTGCAGCAGACAGGGACTTTGTGCACGAAGCCATCATTGCCTGGTATGGTAGCACGAACGCGTTTACGCAGTACGTCCGTGGAGATCTCCGAATGGAGCTCTTGAAGACCATCCGAACGAATGTGCCGAGAATCTACGTCGCATTGCTAGCTACTGCACCGTTAAGCGCAAGCCTCGAGGGCTTTGTCGGACTCTGTCGAGCAGGGGCTCCGTGGAGGTCCTTGCTGTCATATGTGGTGGGCCACACGCTGGGTATTCATCTTTTTTGGTGGTGCCTGAGCATCCGATTTTTATTCTACCTGTGTAACCTGCATCGATGGACGTGTTCCAGCAGATGGGTCTTCGTGGACTACCTGCAGACGCTGCTAGTATTCCTGGCTTTCAGTGTTTTCTATTGTTCGGGAGGAATGATTGGATATCTGAGCTACTCGACCAACCTGGGTGCTGCCACAGCTTTTGCCAGCGTGGCTTTGTTCTTGAACCTCAACTCAGTGCAATCTTTCTCTGGTTGCCTGCACGGCTGCCTTCCTAGAAGGATCTCAAGCCGCCTGTCCACTGTTCTTCCCCCTCCTCCGCGGCCATTGAACAGCGTGAGCTCGTAGGCCTTCAGAGCCTGGTGCACCGCCAGCCGAACATCGGCACGCATGGAGAGCCTTGAAGCCTGTTCATACACGTTTCCAGAAAGAGCTGCCAGGGATGCATGCTTGAAAATTCCCCTCTTGGCTTGTAACCTCTTCGTGAGTCAACCGGACAGTTAGATAAAGCCACGCCCTCTGCTTCAACAACCAGTCGTACACAAGAGACATACAGATCGCCTGCACCACACCATGCATCTGCGAGTCCGTCAGAAAAAGCATCAGAGACCACATAAGCAAACCGCAAAAATCAGAAACACAAGCGGTAGCAAAGCGTGGGCATGTTTCGGAGCTTCATGTCGAGGTTTGCATTAAGATATAAGAAGAAGGAGGTTACCCACAAAGCAAAGGCACAGAAACTAGGCACGAACTTGTCGGGTAGCACCATGCAAGGAGGCAAGGTGTAGGCTTAGTATGGCGATGATGAAGCCTGGCAAAATTTGCTATGGATTTGATCCAGGGGTAACAGGCCTGATCATAAAACTTAAGTCTGATCAGACGCCACCACAGCAATAACGGCAGAGCTCACCGAAGCACTGCTTCTTGCACTCATGTCGTGTGTGTTACTTTGTTTGATCGCGTTTCTGCAAAAGTGCCGGCCTGGCAACAGGGGGTCCAGAGGTGGCAGCATGTAGCTGGCTTCACTCGATAGAAGCCGCTTGCACGGAGTTTCTTCATCAGCCGTTGCTTGCCGACGTGTGTAAGCTCTGACGATCATTGTTGGCTGGCATGCTCGTGCTTGGCGACGCTGTGTAGAAGCGCATTTTGTGGCGAATGCTTGTCTCAGCCGTGTGTTTGCAGCCTGTGGGCTCAATGCTAGGGTTGCCTCTGGCATGCAGCAGCCCGTTCGGGCCCAGAGCGGCTTGACTATCTAATCTTTTTTGTTCTGGTCTGTCGTCCTTGTGTTGTTACCCGGCTGCCACCGAGTCGCAGCAAAATACTGAAGCAAGAGATTTATCTTTCCACTTCCTAGGTCTCGACAAGCACCTTGGCGACTGATGGATTTGGGGGGGTTGCGGGGGGTTCCCGTCTTTTTATGTGCAATTTCCCTTTGCTGTAGCGAGTGCATGTCACTTTTCTGGGCGGCTGAGGTCTACTGCCCAACACCGGTTCCATATTTCCATAGTGTCGTGGATGCCAAACGCTCAGGAGCTGAAGCGGCTGAAGCGGCTGACTTAAGATGTTTCTTCACTTCTCGCTGAGGTCAGAATGAGCGCCCTCGGCAACCTCTGCCTGCTCTTTGGCACTCCCAGCACGACTTCTCTTGGCACTCTCGGAGTTCACGGTGAGACATGCGGCGTCTGTGTGGAAACAAAATATGCTTCGTTTCTTCAGCCAGGTTTGCAATGGCAGGCTATGAGCTGAGACTGCGGGGGGTCACAAGGAGACCTAGGACCTAGAAGATGATCGTAAAGTTAGAACCTGAAGCAGGAGACCTGCACAGCCGCCCCGAGGCCGCAGGCGGAGTGGCGCCTGAAGCCTCGCAAAGTCAATGGGCAGTTGCGGAGGACGGTGTCAGAGTTCAGAGGCTATCGGTCCAGATTTTTTTGGTGAAAGTTCAGGGCGCGGTTGTCGTTGCAATACTTTGGATGATCATGCGCGGGCAGACGCGGACGGCCGTGGATTGTTGTTGCCTCGTTCGTTGGTTCTAGCTGTTACTGCATTGTGTCGGCACAGCGACACGCCATACTGTTGTCAATGGCCCAAATTGGGCATACCCGCTGCTCAGCATCTCTTGACCACGAGCCTGTATTGGATTACGTGTTAGCAGTAGCAGTTGCAGTAGCAGTAGCAGCAGCCGTAGCAGCCGCAGCCGTAGCCGAGCAGAAATAGAAGTGGAATAAGAAGAACAAGTAGAAGTAGAGGTAGGAGTAGGAGTAGAGGAAGAAGTAGAAATAGAGGTAGGTAGAGGTAGAAGCAGAAGAAGAAGTTGAAGTTGAAATAGAAGCAGAATAAGCTGTTGTACTCATAAGAACCATCTCAGTGTAGCATTCAATCTTCATCGTCATCTGTATCCTGGTCGTTCGCATCATGATTCAAAATACTTATCACCATCGTTTTGAGTAGAGGCACGGGCAGCAGTGTTGACGAGGCTGGATATCATCTGCATACATCTGCACCTGCCAGGGTCATAAGTCCCTTTGTTATAGCCTTGGGAGGACGGCAGCATGGAGTCTCCCTCTTCCGGCCCTTCTCGGCTTCTACGCAGCGAGCGGGGAGGGCTGGCAGCAAGGGCCCCGGTCTGGGCAGCCGAGGCTATTAACTTCTGAGAGATGGCGGTGGCGAGACATGTTCATCTGAATCCGGACGGAAGATGAAAACAGTGTTTTACCTTCTTTGCAGCAGGTCGGTGCAGACGGGAGACTTCAGCAAGGCTGGATGGGGGCATCTTTGACTGCGTTGACTCGTCTGCGCCGACTGGTATTTCCGTGTTGTCTGTCGAAGGAGGCTCAGCGCCGCCTTCTCTGCTCGAACGTGAGGCCTGCCAAAAGCTGCCAACTCCAGAAAGATGCACTAGGGCATATTTGGCGAAGAGAGCACTTGCCTGTGCAACAGTCTCATTTGCCGTTCTTTGCAAGGTGGCTGGAGCCACTGCTCATCAGCCGGGCAGTGCCCCCAGCTGTTCTGCGAACGGCGGTGCTCACATAAATTCACATGCGCAAAGCGAAATATTGCGCCCGACGCTTCTCCAGGTAATGTCACCTTCGTTCCCATGAGCAAATGCCAAGAGGACCCTTGCGCGGACTGCCAGTGGACAGCGCTTCGTCTGCAAGTGGTGCATGGTCACTGCAACGGACCTGGTTCGCCCATTTGGGCGCTTGTCCCGTTCGTCGTCTCAGGATTGGGAGGTGTGGTCACCTTGTTCGGTCTCATGCTCCGGTGGCAAGCGCAGCCGTCGCCGGGCCGTGAAAGTACAGGCTCGCGCAGTCGCTCTCGTGACTCTAGTTCTTCTGTGTTCAGGCGCCTCCCTCCTGCTCACCTACTTGAATTGCACGCCTTCTTTCGAGAGCCGGAAATTCCATCCGCTTCGTATCATGTATCATCGGATATTGTCTTCAGAGGGTGTGATGCAGTACTTGATACCAATCTTCGCGTGCTTTGGGTGGGCCACTCATTGACTCTGGTTGCTGGGTTGACAAGGCGGAAGGCGATGGTCAAGCATGCATCGGCAACTCCACTCAGACCGAGGCCAGCTGTTCTTGCGTACTCCGGAGCCTTTTTTTTCCGGGCCCAATCCATACCGAGGACTGCGGCGAAGCCGCCTGCCCTGTGGACTGTGAGGCAAGAGCGAGTCTTGATCTTGACCTCAGAGCTCTGTAGCTGTGGCTGGATGGCCAAGTTGTTCAATGACCCTTCGGAGGTTAGTGATTGGACCTCCTGGACTCCTTGCGCGCCGTTCTGCGACTCTCCTGGGTGCAAGAAACCTGCGCCTTTGCCCAGGGCTGTAGCCGCAGTAGCTTGTCGCGGAGCCCAGGCCATGGCACAACGAACCGAAGCCGCAGCGTCCACCGGCAAGCTGCCAACGGTGGCCTGGCCTGCGGCAACCTGCACCTCGGACCTGAAATTCGGACTTCGGGATCTTGGGGGCGCAGCTTCGCCCAGGTCTGAGGTGAAGTCCTGCACAAACTTCTGCATGGACTGCAAGCTCTCGGATTGGAGCGAATGGAGCATCTGCACTCGGAGCGCTGACTTTGAAGGGCGGTCAGAGTGTCAACAGCGCTCCACTGCCAGGGTCTGTCTTTTTGTTATAGAGGCTTGGATTGCCAGGAGCTGCGCAGGCGGCTCACGATCAAGGACGCGAAATGAAGCAGCGCGGCTGTCACAAATCAGGTTGCCATCGGGATCATTGCCAACTGCATCGTTCGGATCCGATTCGCCTTCAAGCGCTGCATTGAGCATTCGGCCAAGGTCTTCGTGACACGGGAACATCCTTCCAGCTCTTTGCTGGAGCTAGGCGGGTGTTCAATCATGGGTTGAACGAAGATGGTTTTAGCAGGTTGAAGAGCATCTACAGATTTTGCTGCCAGTAGTACCAAGACAATTCCTGTAGCATCGGTCTTCACCCCCGCTGGAAGGTGCCCGCAGCAGGGCCTTTGGCTACGAGAAGAAACTGGGCCTGAGGTCAGCAGAATACAAGGATGTCTTCAGAGCACAGAGTTTTATGAGCAGAGGCTGAGTACTTGAAGACAGCATGAGGGCATTCTGGAATCCTGCAAGGTGTGATGCGGGTCACCAGCGAACTCTAGATGGGGCGGGAAAGACGCCACAAGAAGCGCAGGCTCGTGACGGATACACGACATGCCTTCGGCATGCTGTGTGCTCATTAGCTCCATGTTGAGTGGTTTTCAAGCTGAAGGAAGCCTGCAGCGTGGATCCGACCTGTGGCGGCCTCTACGATAAAGGCTGCAACAACGGGCTGCTCGATTAAATGCTCCTAGTGCCGACACCAAGTAGAAACAACCCTTCCAGCCAAGAGCAGCAAGTGACGAAGCTGAGGTTGACCATCTGTTCTGCGCTTAGCTCCACTCCACATTCGGCACCAGATTCCTACAGCTTCGTCAAGTATGGTAGAAGCTGCTACAAGGTGATGTCGGCATGCTCCTAGAGCCCGAAGAGAAGTCGTGCTCCTATGTCAAGAAGGACGCAGCCAGTGACACCGATTGGAGCAGATGTGCCACCTGTCCTAGCTTGTGGACAGTGCCTCCTTCGTAAAACAGTGGCACGCTAGTCTCGGATGACATCTAGAGCACGGTTGCACTGTGAGGAGATTGGCGAGGGTGTGCCTTGCACCGGCGAGATCAGCGAAAAGGAGGATTACTCGATCGACTTATATCGACCTGTCCTGATGTGCAAACATGGTCCGGCAACAGTTGGCCAACCAATTCCCAATTCGGAAGCATGGCGTGAGTTTCTCCTGCAGGAGTGCAGCACACAAGCTTGTCCAGTAGACTGCCGCCAGTCCGAGTGGACCGAATCTTGGCGGCAAGCCTGTGGAGTGGTGGCTGCACCTCCCTGTCGAGACAGTACAAAGAATCTTGAAGGATTGGACAGAGTGCTCCCCATGGTGCTCCGGAACCTCGAAGAGGCCGGGTCTGTAACTCGCGGTCAGCCTGTAGGCATCCGCAATGCATTTATCTATGCGCAGGACGCGCACCACCACTCGGGAGCCCGCAAACGGTGGTGTGGCCTGTGGTAGCATTGCCGAGGTGCCGCTGCTGTTCTGGCACACCATGACTTCTAGATCCGACGGACATCGGATCGGCAGGGCTTTTGATGACAACTGGTCTGTGTGCGCAGGTGCAGAACTGCACGAATGTCTGTGTGGATTGCGGCTCGCCTGCAACAGCAAGACCATGCTTCCACCATTCTTGACATTTTAAGCTTTCAGTGACCAGCCGTGCGCTTCCTCGCGCTTCCAGGCGAGTGGGGGAGTTGGGTTGCCTGGTCAAACTGCCCTGTGACTCGGCTGAGACCTAGGTTTGTTTCCGTCTTTTGTTTTGAAAAACTGCTTCCTTGCAGGTGAGTTGTGGCGGAGCGAAGCAGAAACGCAGCCGCAACGTGTTGGTGCAGCAAGCGGGTAGGGGAAAGCCCTGCCAAGGCCGGGCTGGCCCCGTGGGTTTCGTGGGTGTTGAAGAGCGAAGTGTCCTGTGCCAGCGCGGTTGTCATGACTTGGAAGGCAACTCTTCGGAAGTGCGTGGCTGCGGAGAACTGGCATGTCCGGTGGACTGCAGCATGGAGGACCCCAAAAGAGCAGCGCAACGTAGGGCGTGGAGCCGTCGTAGCGAGCAAGAAAAAGGACTGGACGGACTGGACGAGCTGCACTCCGTACTGCAAGGGGAGTCAGTCCAGAACTCGCAGCTCCTCGGATGACTGTCACAGAGTGCAACCTGGTGGCTCTTTCCATTCCAGCTCTGCCAGGCATTCTCGTTGACCCCTTAAATGGTGGAAAAGCCTGCGGCGAAACGTCCCTGGTCGTGAACTGCAGCTGGGCTCTCAGAGGCGGAGGGTCCAAGAGGCCCCTCACTTGAGAGGGGCAATCCGTCAGTTTCCTGGCACTCCGTCAGCTGAGGCAACGCCTGCGTGGATTGTGAGGTTTCCGACTGGTCGGCAGGGCCCCTGGCGATCTCGATACAGCGATAACAGGATTAAGTAGAAGATTTGATGCATCGGGGCAGACGTCTAGAATCTTTGTGCAAGACCTCTTCATCCTGTTCGGATGCATCGGATGTATCTACCCCCGCAGGTACAGCGGTAGCAAGGGTGTAATAAGTGGCAGAGGATGCTCAGAGGCTGCAGAGGGGAGTGACTGATTGCACTAGTAGACTCAGCCACAGTTCTGAGTCGACCGTCGTCGCGCATGACCGATGGTTTGTGCTGCCATTGTCGGGCAGGCGGCCCCAAACGTCGTGGGGCCCGTAGCAGTGATTCTTGCTAGCCGCTGCTGGCCGCTGCTTGCAAGGCTTGGACCCCCTGCTCGGTGAGCTGCGGGAGCGGCCAGCAGTCGAGGACACGGAAGTCGCTGCTTCGGGTTGTGGGCCTTCTTGAGAATGAGCGCGTGGCATTTGGTGAAGCAGAAGTTGGATGCCTTCGCCGCCATTGCCATTGTTGCACAGCCACGGAGCAGCCTTTGATGCCTGCGGTCAATCCATGAATCAATCATGTTCGCCGTGAAGCGAGGAAGCGCGTGGTCTTGGTCGAGCCCGAAGGCCTCCGGCCCGCCTTCGGCCTGTGAAGCCGAGTAAGTTCCGTACCTGAAAGGGGTGTCGCCGTTTGGCTTGCTGCAGGCCAGGGTGCCCCCTGCCCAGCGGACTTGCTGGACGAGAGCCTCGGGCTGCAGTTTTGCATAACACTGCTTTGACCGCCTGTTGATGCTCGCCACTCGAGTCACGCCTTCTGGATCTCAGGAAAGAGGGCTGCAATGCCACGGAATGCCCTGTTGACCCTTGGCTGAACTTGAGACCAGGAATCTCTACACAGCGACATGCTATGACATGTTGACCTTTCCCAGGATTGTGCATGGCAAGACTGGGCTCCATGGAACGGCTGCCCAGCGACTTGTGGCGGTGCCATTCAGAATCGAACCCGAGGCCACCGAAATGCATGACCTTTGCTCGGCCCTTCAGATCCCGCCGCACAGGCAAGATCGAAGAAAAGTTTGGTGGTGTGCCCTGCGAAGGCTCCGGCTTCTTTGGGTGCAGGTTGAGCAGGAATATTTTGCAAGATGACCCCTGCTCAGGGGAAGCCCTCGAGCAAGGCTCTTGCGCAGAGATGGTGTGTCCGCAGGAGCTTTCTGGCACTCACCGAAAAGAACTTCCTCCAGAATTGCCCCTGCTGGCAGGACTGCCTCTGGTCAGAGTGGGAAGCCTGGGGCAACTGCACCAAGCTCTGCGGCGGTGGGAAGCAGTCTCGCTACCGATACATAAAGCAAGATGTGATGGGAGAGGCGCGACTCCTTTTGGTGAGTGTCCTCCTGTTTGCTCTCTGGCGCAGACATGCACAGACCGCAATCCTGCGCACCGTCAGGGCACCAACTGCACCGGTTCGGCCCACGATGAGCGGACTTGCAACGAGGAGCCGGTTGAAACAACTAGCTTGATAGCTTGAAAAACCGGCTCCGTGAGTTTTTCTTTGTCCCTGCAGGATGCCTGCCCCAAGGATTGCGAGTTTTTGGATTGGGACGAATGGAGCACCTGTTCTGTCAGCTGTGGGGCTGGCGGCAACAGGACTCGGTCCCGGAAGGTGGATGCCGAGATCAACGGCGGTGCGTCCTGTGACCCCGCGGTACCGCTCCAGGAAACAGTTGAGTGTGGCACTTCCGGCTGCCCGCGGGACTGTGCTTGGGGCGACTGGGGCACCTGGACCAACTGTAGCAAAACCTGCGGCTTGGGTCTGAACGCCGGTATCACTACGCGCCATCGGGTGCAAGCCATCACTGCGGCCTTTGGAGGGAAGGCCTGTGAGGGCAAGACGGTTCACACCACCCGCTGCAACGAGGTTCTTTGTCCCGTAAACTGTGAATGGGAACCCTGGACTGCATGGACGGAATGTGTGATGCCCTGTGGTAGCAATGGGACGAGGCAAAGGTCACGTGGAAAGACTCCGCCCGCACATGGCGGAGAGGATTGCGTGGGGGACTCCACGGAGACCTCGGCCTGTACCGTGCTGGGCGGCTGCTCGGTGAACTGCACCTGGGAGGACTGGAACGAGTGGACTGCCTGTTCGGCATCCTGCGGAGAGGGGAGTCGAGTCAGGCCCGATTCTAATCATTAAGTGCTTGTTCAGCTACACTGACATTGTTCCACACACACCCGGACACCCGGAACCTCCATGGCACAACTTTCTAGATCCTCTGTTGCGTGGAGACCGTGTTGCTGTCAGAACTTGCATCGGGTGCAAGGTTTTGGGGCATTCAAGATAGTCTTCGCGGACAAGAGCCCTAAGCGCCCCTAAGCCCTAATCTTCAGAGACTGCCGACGACAGCTTCGTTTGATCTTCACGGAAAACTTAAAGCAACCTGGCAGTTTCCGCCCAATCCTGGTAAATGCCCGAGCCCGGGATATCACTGTAGCTTGAACTTGTTTTGTGAATCTGTACCGTGACATCAAACACTGCAAACTACAACATTAGCTGCCTCGACCCCTGAAGCCCTGAAGCCCGATGCCCACATCAGCCGGAGCTCAAAACTCCCCGCCCTCCCACGAGTACGGAATTTTGACCACTCCAAACCTCGAATCCTAGACAGCTCTTTGAGCGCGCCTTCCGCGGAGGTTTCGCTTCGTAGCTGACGAGGCCCGTGGACCACATGGCCAGGCTTGTCATGGCCAACCCCAGGCCAAGAGGGGGGTTTCGTTTGGGCTCCGGGGCTGCCGATGCTGTTGCTTTATTTTTCAACCAACGCGAACTCCCGTTGTGGATGGTGTTCTTGAGGGACATGAAAGACGAGTCTTTGGCGAGCCCTTTCCGGATCCGGGTGTAGCTTCTTCCGAGGGCTCCAAAGCGAGACACCGAGGCCATGTAGTGCTACTTGTAGGCTCCCTCTGCCGGCTTTTTCTTCGGCTCCTGCATGAATTTTGCATTCCCCCCCTCAGGAGGACGAGTATTGCAACCCTGGCAATGCATGCCCCGTCGACTGTGCCTTCAACGACTGGAAGGTTCCTCTCTTCAAGTTTTGAGCTCCGCAGAATCGTTTTTTGGGGTGAGGGAGGAAGCCAGCGCGATTCTGCCATCAGTTGTGATTCAGCGCACTGATTGGTAACAAAAACGAGCACTTGGCCAGAAGAGAATCGAAGCTCATTTCGAGCCCTTGCTCTCCCAGGACTGGGGTGCTTGTGAGCCCATGCCTTGTGGGCCTGCCAAGAAGCTGCGAGCGAGGAGCTTCTGAGGTCTTGGCTCTCTCGCAAAGGCCACGAGAATATTTGCCAGGACGAAGCTGGCGGCGCGCTATGGCGGCAAGCCTTGCGAGGGCAATGCCACAGAGGCGAGGACTCCGATCTTTGCTGAAAGGGTTGACGGGACGTTTATCCTGCATGGGCAGGTGGAAGAGTGCACGGTTCCGGCGGCTTGGATGTGTTCCAACTTCTCGGTTGCAGCAAGGAGTAGAAGATGATCTCATGTGCGTCCTTTATCACTTTCTGTGCCAAGGGAGGAAGAATCATTGAGTGCGACGAGAACGGCAAGCCTGTCACATCGACCTCAACGACATTCACCACCACAACTACATTGACAACTACCACGCGGACCAACACGACCACGACAGTCACTGCAACAAGCACGACTACGCAAACCATCACAAACACCACCACCACTCCAAGTGACTTGAGCTAAAGATGGATGCTTCCCATGCCTTGGGAAGTTTCAGGATTGAAGAATTGGGATATGCTTGAGTCTTGAGTGGGTCAGAAGCTGGCCGATGGCAGATGCCGTAAAGACAGCGCCTCAAAGCTGGTTCGGATTTTTGTCACTCTCGTGGCCGAGATATACAAGACAAGCACACGCGCCAACACAGGCACGACCACGGCCGCACCCATCGTTGTCACTACGGTGGGGCTTAACCCGGAGTCGGCTGCTGCGGCGGTTGCTGCAACAGCGGAGGACCGGAGAGTCACTGCAAGGGCGGCAAGGTGCGACTAACACAAGACTCACAAGACTTAGCTGACAGAAGCAGCTTTGAATGTGTTGGACATATTCCCGCGGAGACGGTGTGGCCGCAACAAGCTAGTCGGTGCCGCTGGCAAAACCATGGAAGAACGTCAAGAAGGTCGTAGTAACTTCTACAAACCTCTTACGCCCAACAGTGATTCCCTCAGCCAAATGCTCCGAAAGCCAACCGCTTCAGGAGTCCGTGCAGGGAAGTGAAGAGTTGGCTACTTGAGCAAGCACGAAGTTTATCAAGGGCCCATGTTTTGGGTGAGCTCGCCTTTCGATAGTCCTGAGAACGAAATTTTTTGCTGGGAGCCGGGAGGCCGTGAGCTTGGCTGTTGACTTGGCGAGAGAGTACAAGCACCTGTGTCCAAATTGTCCAAGGAGGTGACGGATCCGGACAAGTTCGTGAAGGACGCCAGGGCAGCAAAGCCTCGTCTTTTGCTCGAGGTCGCAAGTGAAGATTCGGTTGCAGACGTCTGCCTTCCCTTTCCAAGCCGAGAGTGCCTTGCAGCGGTCGTCGCGAGAGAGTTGGAGCGAGTTTAAAGGAAGCAGCAGTGGCTCATGCCCGACCCAGTCCAGGACCCGGCAGCGAAGGAGGCCTTGAAGGAGGCCATCGCCCAGGAGGCCCCGCTCAGCATGCAGCACGAGTAGCACAAGTGCGGAGTACCCGTAGGTGATGACAGAAGGAGTAACGATAGGGCCATCGGCGACAGACTGAATTGGCCGAACTCGGTTGTTCACGAGGTCGGCGTCTCTGTTGATGCCGTGATCATCAAGGGCGAAACCGTCGAGCCGCAGGCAGGGAGGGGGGCTCGAATCGCCGTTTGCCGAGGAACACAATTTGCCAGGCCCCTGCGGTTCTCCTTCAATCTCACGCAGGCAAGGCCCGTCGGAGAGAGACTCCCAGTGGCATCTTGACGGCACGAGGATGTTTCCCTTTCGTGCAGAGCAGAGCTTTCGGCCAGATATTTGCAAGCGAAGGTCGCGTCAACGTTAGCTATGAGATTGTCCCACAAATGAGTGGCAAGACGGTTGACGAAGTCATGGACAAGATGGAGCATTTGGATCCACAAGAGGCCTTTCCTGAGCCCAAGCATGGATAATGGGCACGGCCAAGATTTGCGCCAGGTGGCCGAAGTCCACGAGAAGAGCCTCTTGAGAAACAACGTCGCAAAGTACAGCGTCAAGGCCGCTCGCAATCCTCTGCCGAAGCAAAGCGCTTCCTTAAGTGGGTCAAACAAAGTCTCGCTGTGAGGTTGAGGACACGAAGACAGTGGTGGTGTCCAAGTCCACTGGAAACACCGCCTCTTGGAGAGCACGCCAAAGAAGTGCGGGTTGGCTCTTTCTGTGTTTGGTTTGCCGCTTGAGAGCTTCATCTCTCGCCTCCTTGTCCCCGAACTCGCTGTAAAGCCTGGTTTGGCTCAGGTTCGCGAGGCCGACCCACTAAAATCCGGCTGCTCTGCGGTGGCGTGGTCGGTGTGGGCCCTAGACAGAGGCCTCAATCAATGAAGCATGGAATGTGCCAGGCGCAGAGTCTTGGAGTCTTGAAGCTAACGGGAAAGCTTTGGTCAAGTTGTTTTTGTCGTGGCCAAGGCTCCTTTCGTGGCCGGGTGCTGAGAAAACAAGATGGTTCTCATGCATCATGTCTCCGCCGTGTCGATATCTAGCTAGCTGCCTAGCTAACTTGCTATCTACAGTATCCATCTATCTATCCATCTATCTGCCTGCCTGCCTGCCTGCCTGCCTGCCTGCCCGCCTGCCTGCCTGTCTGTCTGTCTGTCTGTCTGTCTGTCTGTCTGTCTATTTATCTATGTATCTATCTAATCTAAGCTAGTCTTAGCTTGTCGAATCTAATCTAGTCTAGTCTAATCTAGTCTAATCTAATCTAATCCTGTCTAATCTGATCTGTACCTATCTAATCAAAATCTAATCTGATCTGATCTAATCCTATCTAATCTAGTCCTATATAATCCAATCTAATCTAATCTATTCCTATCTAATCTAATCCTATCTAAACTATCTTTCTATCTATCCATCTATCTATCCAGCCGTCTATCCATCCATCTATCTGTCTGTCTATCTATCTGTCTATCTATCTACGTTCAGCATCTATCTGTCACAACCTGCTTGTTGGCACCAGCGAAGCTCTTTTCTTGCAGTCAAGGTTTGGACGTTGTGCCAACACCTTTATTTATGGAGTTCCTGAGCTGCCGGACGTCTCCATTGGGAGCATGTGCTCCTGTGGCCTTACTAGCCAGGGCAGGCAGCCTGCCCCGTGTCGAAACGTCTAACTAGTGGACGACCTGTGCTTGCGTCTGCTGCCGACTGTGCAACTCAAAAGCAGTGAGCGAGAGCTTATGCTGAGTGCTGGCTCACTCGCATGTACCTGCAGCCTGCAGTCCTCCCATGGCAGATGGCAACTCCTTGTCCAGATGCGAAGTGTCTGCGTGAATTGTTTCCGCAGCTGCGAACGTGGCTCAGCCGTGAACGGCGCCTTGGCCTTCACATCTGAAGCTCGAGGGCAGGCGAGGAGAATCCAGGTTGCTTACTCCTTCGTGGCCCCCCCGCCTCTGCATCCCCTGCAGGGATGACGCTGAGCGATGAGGAGGAGGCCGCAGAAGCCCCAGCCATGCAGGCACAAAGCGCTGATCTTGCGTCGGGAGGTCCGGCCACTGCGGCTCGAAGAAGCGCAGCTAGACCGGCCTATAGGGCATCGAGTGCCATGGCAGCAACAGGTCATTAAGCGGTGTTCTGGAGAGAGTCCTGAGTCTCGACATGTCTCGACATGTCTCGTGTCAGGTGAAGGTGTCAGCTCTTGCCGTGGCCCTGTGCCTCGGGGCCGGGGCGCTCTGGAAAAACACGGTGCCTTGCAAGCCTGGGTCACCTGGGCTGCTGCAGGCACTCTCGAATCCACGCCATGTGCTTGCAATGCGCTGTCCCCAGAGGCTAAGTTTGCTACCGATGTGGATGCACAGATGGCTTTAAAAGTGGAGGGCCTCCGGAGCGTGACAAACAGGCGCCTGGGCTAGTCCAGTTGGAGTCAAACGGGAACACGCAGATGCATGTTGGTAGGGATAGTGAGTAGAAATCGAGGATCGAATGAGGCTATAGAGCAGATACTCTTCGGTGCTTGAGTTTCAGCAGAGCGTGATCGCAAAGCATGGCACAGTTCTTGTTCGTTTTACCAGCTTGCCCATAGCGTACATGATTATGCCAGACTGGAGGATAACCCTGCTACTTAGCTTCCGTGCAGAAGGAGCCTTGCCGATGGCATCGTTATGAATGCGATGAAGTCTGCGGGCAAGGACCTTCCGTCCCTTCCGTTTCACGCGGAACACATCTCCCTCTCTGTATCTCTCTCCACCTCCGTCTCTGAGTCTTTCTCCGTTTCTCTGTCTCTGGTCATCAATGCCAGTGCTTCTTGCTCTGTGGACGAGTACCGACTTGCGTTGTCTGGTCATCATCGCCGTGGTCGTCGCGGTTGTCTTAGTTGTTCTTGTTGTCGGCGCCGTCTGATGTACTTGCCTTCGAAATTAAATGCATCGGGGTCCCTCCCGCACCACGAAAGCGCACCCTTGTGGAAGTGACTATGGAACCTGGACCGGGACTGCCGGGGATGCCAGCCGAAACCCCTAGCAGTGGCAGTAGTCGTCGTCGTAGTGGTCGTCGTCGTCGTCGTTGTCGTCGTCGTAGTAGAAGTAATAATAGTAGTAGTAGTAGTAGTAGTAGTAGTAGCAGCTGCAAATTGAATTCTGGGATTGTGGCCGGCCTCCCCAGCCCTGTTGCACCAGGACTATGCGAAGCATTATGAGGCACACCAGGCACGGGAAAAGACGGCGAGTGCACGCACCAGAATGAGCCGGCATGTGTATTGAATCCGTGGCCCACGCGGCAACAAGGTGCGACAGCTTCCTGAAAGTCCTGTTGCCAGGGCCTAAGCGACACGGTGAAACATTTCAAGCTGGAGGGCGAAGCTTTGCGACATTCGGCATGTTGTGATGTGCAAATACTACGCTACCGTAAGCTGAAAGTCGGCTCACTTCTTCCAGGATGCTGCCCGCAGCATGATCTCGTATGACGCTTGGCAGCATGAGGCACAGGACATGAACTACTGCCTCGCTACATGTCAGCCAAAAGACTCTTATTCGCATTTGCACTTCGTGATCCACAACTGAGGACGAGATCAGGACCTATAGAGCTGAAAAGAAGGCAAAGAGGGCAAGAGAGGCCAAGAAGGCTTTCTGTGCCTTCAATGTGTTGGAAGCCTTCGCAGCTCAGTCGCACATGACATAAGTGCAGGTCGCATGTTGTAAAGAGCCTTTCAAGTTTTCGACCGTTCCGAGATCTCTATCATGGGCATGGGTGATGATATCAACGCCATCATCCGCACCTGTCCACCTCCTCGAGATGGCGAATCGGAGGTGGGGAAGATCAGCCCGATCCGTGCAGTGCAGGGTCGTAAGTGAGTCTCTTGCACCCCTCAGTTGGCGTGCCAAGTGAACGGTGCCATCCTGGTCGCATGGGTTGGCAATTTGGCGGCCAAGCTGTCCTTTGCCGCCTCCAACTGCGCGATCACCACCAACGTGAATGCTCTCTGCTCCGTAGGCTTGGAAGTGCAGAAGGTATCGCGACAGTGCCTCCCTCCTGCCAAAGAAAAGGGCAGCAATGTGTAAAAAACATCTCAGCAAGGCACAACAAAGGACAGCTCCGAAGCCAAGCTCCGAAAAGCTCGGAGGTGTCACAGGCCTGGTCTCCGCCATGGGGGAGCTGGCAGCCACGGCATCCCTGGCGGCTGCCACCTGTGTCCCCACACCACCCAGCCCCTGGTCAGCCATGAGGGGCTTGTGGTTTCCAGGTCTTCGGGTTAAAAGGAGAGTTTGGCAGATTCAGAAATCGGTGTTTCGGTTATGGTTTGGGGTTTGGTTGTATCAGGCTTCACGGTAAAGCAACCTGTTCAACAGTCTCTTGGGTGCCATGCCATCAATTTGTGTTTCTAAAAGCACATTGCCTATTATCCTGCAGGATGATCAGTTCAAGTTCTTGTGGTGCAGCAACATGTATCCGATTATGCTTTTCCTGCTCTAAAAACCTAACCTAACGGAAGCTCTTGTCGCTTGCTTTGGAGAAACACGCCCCAAACAAGGCCTTACGACGACCAAGATCAGTGTGCTGGGCGACCAGACTGTCCGCGGTGCGCCGGGACGACGGCTGATGATCGGTGAGGGTGCCGTCGGGAACGGCGTCCAGTGCGGCATCGACGTGGGCATGGTTGTGACGAATATCGCCAACATGGGCTTGGCCATTAACGGTGCCGTCAACTCAGGAATGTGCGGTTGGAGAGCAAAGGCGTCCCCTTTGAACAAGCTCACCGGAATCCCGGAGGTATACACCTGTCGAAACAGCTTTTGTGAACCGTCTCCTTGAATAATGTTTTAGACAGGTTTGGACTGGACAGTCACTTGTTGTCAGGCGCTGTGCACCGTCGACATCGGCGGGGCGGTGACGTACATCAGCCAGGCCAGGCGTGAAAGGATTGAGCTCCTGTCAGCCTCTCACCCCCCTCATGAAAGGTCGTGACCTTCATTAACTTGATCGTTGTTCACTGCAACGATTTCCTTGATATCAGTGCCCTCTGTGGGGCCAGCGTGGCAGGGATCACTACTGCGGCGGCCGCTATTTCGCCATATGGTGCAGCCGTCCATGCTGCCTGCCGAGAGAATCACATAGCCAAGAGCCCAAAGCTCCAGGCGAAGATCAACGGTCTCTATGATGTGCCCGATGTGCCCAGGCGCCTCACCGAACTCAAGGATGCTATGGCAAGTGTTCGAGAGATCCGTGGGCGGCTGGAAGAAGAGCTGGGCTTCAATGCATCCTCCGCTCGGGGTGACAGCTTCTCGGAAGCGAACATGGAGATGCTCCTACACCTCATGGAGGGCGAGTCGGGCCAGGAGAAGGCTTCCACAGGCCTTTGGCCATTTTCGCAATGCGAAGCGTGATTTCGCAGCCCTGTTATTTTTGTTAAATGTAGCGTCGATGAACGTTGCAATGGTCTCGTTCACTTCAATTAGACTTGCACTTTCTTGCCGGACGGTGGAGGTTCAATGTAAAGGGAGGCGTAAAGGGTTTCTTTCATGCTTCCGATCGTCCGGTGCCAATGTTTGCTGGCGGAGACGTCGTGTAATTCTTGGAAATGACGTACGCGAAAAGAGACTATTGGACATCCCAAGATGCGGCAAAGGCATGGCGCGAGCAAGACCAACAACAAAGAAGATCATTTGACTGACGTAGGCCGTGCGTCATATCTGCCAAGTAGGGCCTTGAATAGGATCTGCCCTTGGAGGAACCGGCAACGAACGCTTTAGGCTTTCCTCGTTGGGGGTCAAGATCTGCACCCGTTTGTGGTTGATGCGTCTCACACACGAAACCGGTGGTGCCAAAGTGCGGCTACTGAGGCCCAAGTCGAAAAAGAGAATCACTCTGTCTTCGAAGGATGCGAGCTGCATGCCATCTAACAGCGAGTACCAGCGCATGTTGCACGGGTGTTGTGGATGACTTCATGGTTTCTGAAGGGTTTCGAAAGGTACCTGTGCTCGATTTTGCTTGCATCGCAAGTGTGACAGCATCTGGTCGCCGAGCCTGATAGATAGAATCGTCATCATAGTTACCCTCATGATGTTCACAATCATCATGACCATCATTATCATCACCATCATCATCATCATCGCCTTCACCATCACCATCATCATCATCACCATCATCATCATCGTCATCACCATCATCATCATCACCATGACCATGAAGGGCACCATCGTCATCGGCAGCATCATCATCATCATGACCAACATCGTCATCGCTTCTGCTATCGCCATCGTCGTCTTCACCACCACAACCATCATGATCATTATCGCCGACATCATCGTCATCGTCGTCGCGACTGTCATCGTCATCGTCGTCTTCACCCCCACCAGCAGAATCATCATCATTATCATCGTCATCGTCATCATCATCATCATCATCATCATCATCATCATCATGGTCGTCACCCTTATCATACCTGCTACACATTTCGTTGTCCTGCTGATGCTCTTCGTTGTCGTCTTCACTTCCGCCTCACTACCATCAAAAGCGGCACCACTGTTCGCCCCCCCCAACTCGATCATCAATATCGTCGCCAGCATCAGATCCACCACCCTCGGCAGCGCTAGCAGCAAGGAACTCGATGTGACCTGTGCGCAACCCGAATCTTCCGAAAGAGACATCCCTAGCGTTTAACCTTCATTCCAAGCCGAGTATGTAAGAGCAAAACGCGACACGTGCTCTGGAAGCAGACTCCGAACCCAAGCTGAGACTGTCTGCAGTGGATGTTCATTTTCATGGCTTAGGCTTTCAAGGTCTGCGGATTGGCCCAATTTGTTAAGCTGGCAAATTCTACTTGGATCGTGTTTAGGCTTTTGGGGCTTTGGGGCTCTGTCTTTACGAGGTGCCCATGCTGGGGAAGTAGAAGGGTTGCAGGATAAAGTACATGCGGCGCTTGAAGCATTGCGGACAACTCCAAGACACCCGGTGCGTGTAGCACGTAGTCTTGTAGCTGGGCCACCTGCCTGACATCATGAACTGCCCACTGCGCTCTCAACCGGATGCTGGGCATATCCGACTATGCGCACAACACTGCACAACCCTCCCTAAATGTCAGGGCTGCGATGCCGCTGCATAGGCCGTATAGAGTCCGAATAGCTCACCAGCTATCTTTTGTTGAAGTCTTACGTGAAGGTTGAGGCATTTTTGATTCGAATCCGTGTGCTGCGATTGGACTAGCTGAACCCTAAAACAGGGTTCAGACCTACTGGTCTGTTGATCACGTTGGTGGCGCGTCAACCCCCAGCATGCTGCTGGGACGGTGTGACTCTCTCGGAGAAGGCGTGCCTGCAAGTGTGCTGACTTGGAGCTTGGACATTTGTTTTCTATATGTGCCCTTGCCTTCCTACAGATGTTGGATCTGCTTGGTTCATCTGCATTATGTTGGCAATCAGATTTCTGATTCTGGCTTTCGCCATGGTTGTGCTCCGAGAGCTATTGTGAAATCTGCGGTTGTGAAATCTGCGAATTCAGCGACGCCATCGACATTGCATGATGATACTAAGTGAGTAGTTTTGTTGATGCGCCAGCAGCGCACATGCAAAAGACCGTAGTTTTCAACCTGAGATGAATCCGGACATGATGGCTCGACCCGGCATTGATTGATAGCTTGGTTTGAGATCAAGCATACGGTGCTTGGCAGGATCTGTTGTGGTGGCATCATGGGAGGCAGAAACGATGCTTCGAACGTACTGCATCGCCATTGTCACTGCCCAGCTTCGTGCAACGATGTGTTCCGCCCGCTTGTGTTGATGCGCAACATGTGCGTTTGTAGAGATTTACAAGACACTGACGACTTTGTCAAGTTTTTTTGCTGGGCTCTTGCATACTGTCGAGGCTAGCCAGCCTTGCATTGGCGATGCGATGTCTTGTGCTCTGCGAGCGATGCAGATCGTCAAGGTGCTGCATGTCCCGCCACAGCATACAGCCGCCACACGGCTCTTCCGGGAGTTGTTGCAAAAAAGTATTTGGACTTTTGCCTGCCTTTAAGCTTCTGTGCTCTTTAAGAAAGAATAGCCTGGCACGGCCAAGAATCCACAATTGGACAGAGTTACTGGACTGTTTAACAGCCCTGCTGCATTGGACGATGCGACTCTTGTGCGCCTGCACGTGTGCTGTCTTGGAGCTAGGACAAGTTTCGAGCAGATGTCGG